TAGATAGATAGATAGATAGATAGAGATAGATAGATAGATAGAGATAGATAGATAGATAGATAGAGATAGATAGATAGATAGAGATAGATAGATAGATAGATAGAGATAGATAGATAGATAGGATAGATAGATAGATAGATAGATAGATAGATAGATAGATAGAGATAGATAGATGATAGATGATAGATAGATAGATAGATAGATAGATAGATAGAGATAGATAGATAGATATAGATAGATAGATAGATAGATAGATAGATAGATAGATAGATAGATAGATAGATAGATAGATAGATAGATAGATAGATAGATAGATAGATAGTAGGCTTGGGCAATCCATGGTACTCACAAAACTAAAGTTCTGGTAGTGAAAATTTCAGAACTCGGTAACAAAACTCTCAAAATTAATTATTATTTCATTATTGGTGATTTTATGACAGAACCAATTAGGAACTGCCATTTATAATGAAATTTTGAGAGTTTTGTTAGAGTTCTGAAATTTTCACCACCAGAACTTTAGTTTTGTAAGTACTTTAGAACCATTTAGAACCATGGATTGCCCAAGCAATAGATATGATTCACACACAGAGAGATATAGTATAGATTTGAAAGGGACCCTTAAAGGAGGACAATGATATGTGGGCAAACCAGACCCTCTCCACATCAACACTGTCAAAAGAAACAGCAACTGTTTACCCACAAGCATAAAGAAATCACATATATTAGAAACCAACACTTTCTCATTCCTCTATTTTCCAGGTCAACAGACTGGGCCACAGCAACGCCTGGCAGGGGACAGCTAGTCTATTATATTATTAGCATAGCACAATATTACATTCTTTCTCAAAAAAAAAAAAATCGAACCAAAACTATTCCTTCAAAAGTATTTTGAAAGCAAACAGGGGAAAGATGAGAAAGTCTTTGAAAGGCTTTCACGGGTGGGGGTGGGGGGTGGGGGTGGGGGGGCGCCTGATCCCCTCCCCTGGCAGATGGTCTCTCCGGCCAGATTTGCATGCATTGTCTTGAAATCTGTTTCCGCCTTGATGCGCTATAGAGGAGGATTCAGGGGCAGATCTTTGCCTTCTTCCCCTCTGCTCGCAGGACAAAAGGAACCGGGGTTGCAAAGAAGGAAATGACACCCAAAGAGGGTTGGGTTGGATCCGGGAAAATAAAGATCTTCTTAAGATCTGGTTTGCTTTCTCAAAGCTGGGAAGAATTGGTCTGTGTGAGATATAAGTTTGGAGTAAAGAAGACTGGCAGGAAAGCCATCCCTTCTCTCTTCTCTTTCTCTTTTTCTTCCTCTCCTCCTCCTTTGACTTCTTCCTCTTCTCTTTCCGCTTTCCTTCCTCTTCCTCTCATCCCCTTCCTTCTCTTCCTCCTTCCTTCTCCTTTCCTTTCTTCTTGCTTCTTCCTTTTTCTTTCCCTTCTTCCTCTCCCCCTCCTTCTCTTTTGACTTCTTCCTCTTCTCTTTCCCCTTTCCTTCCTCTTCCTTTCATCCCCAATTTCTCCTTCCTTCTCTTCCTCCTTCCTTCTCTTTTCCTTTCTTCTTCCTCCCTTTTTCTTTCCCTTCTTCCCTTTCCTTCCTCTTCCTCTCACCCCCAATTTCTCCTTCCTTCTCTTCCTCCTTCCTCCCTTTTTCTTTCCCTTCTTCCTCTCCCCCTCCTTCTCCTTTGACTTCTTCCTCTTCTCTTTCCCCTTTCCTTCCTCTTCCTCTCATCCCCAATTTCTCCTTCCTTCTCTTCCTCCTTCCTTCTCTTTTCCTTTCTTCTTCGTCCCTTTTTCTTTCCCTTCTTCCCTTTCCTTCCTCTTCCTCTCATCCCCAATTTCTCCTTCCTTCTCTTCCTTCTTCCTCCCTTTTTCTTTCCCTTCTTCCTCTCCCCCTCCTTCTCCTTTGACTTCTTCCTCTTCTCTTTCCCCTTTCCTTCCTCTTCCTCTCATCCCCAATTTCTCCTTCCTTCTCTTCCTCCTTCCTTCTCTTTTCCTTTCTTCTTCCTCCCTTTTTCTTTCCCTTCTTCCCTTTCCTTCCTTTTTACTTTCACTTCGTCCTCTCCCATCCTTTCTCCTTGACTTCTTTACGTCATCTGCTCCCTTCCTTCCTCTTCCTCCTCCATCCCCTATTCTCCTTTTTCTCTTCCTCCTCTTCTTTTCCTTTCTTCCTTCCACTTTTTCTTTCCCTTCTCTTCCCCTTCTTCCTCTCCCCCTCCTTCTCTTTTGACTTCTTCCTCTTTCTCTTCTCTTTCCCCTTTCGTTCCTCTTCCTCTCACCCTCAATTTCTCCTTCCTTCTCTTTTTCTTTCTTCTTCCTCCCCTTTTCTTCCCCTTTTTCCTCTTCTTTCTCTTCCTCCTCCTTTATACACCCTTCCTTCACTTGAACAAAGCGCAAAGCCATCTCTTCTTCTTCTCCTCTCTCCTCTTCTCTTACTTTTCTTTTTCTTCTTATCCTTCTCCTCCTCTCCTTCTTCTTCCTCTTCTTTTTCCTCCTCCTCTCCTCCGCCACTTTCTTCTTTCACTTTCCTTCTCTTTTCCTTTCTTCTTCGTCTTCTTCTTCCTTCCCCTTCTTTCTCTTTTCCTTTCTCCTCCTCCTCCTCCTTCGACTTCTTCCTCCTCTTCCTCTCTCTTTTCTCTTCCTCTTCCTTTATCCTCTTCCTCTTTTCTTTTCTCTTTCCCTCCTCCTTTCTCTCCACTTCTCTTCCCACTTCCTCCTTCCTCCCTCTTCTCTTTCCCTTCCTCTTCTTTTTCTTCCTCCCGATGTGTCATCGCTTTCCCCTGTGGATTCATCTTTCTCTCAATGCCGCCTCACTTCCCTCCGCCTTCGCTTACGTCTTCATCCGGGTTCGTGAGTCCGTTCCGCTTAAGATTTAGGCTGTGTTATACTTACTATTTCTCAAGCTAATGATTTTGTACTTTTGCTGACTATCACTAGTTTCTCTCACGACAACCGATGGACAAGCCACGAAATTATCTCTCTCCTTTCCTCCACCTCCTCATCACCTCATTCCTTCCTTTCCTGCTTCTTCTCCTTCCTTTTCTTCCTTCTCTTCTCCTCTTCTGGTTCTTCTCCTTTCCTTCCTCTGTCATCTTCTTTCTTCCATCTTTTCCTTCACCTTTACTTCCTATACTCTTCCTTTTCCTTCACTTTGTCTTTATCCTCTTTCTTCACCTCTTCTTCCTTCTCTTCTTCCTTTTGCTTCTCTTCCTCCTCTTTCTTCACCTCTTCTTCCTTCTCTTCTTCCTTTTGCTTCTCTTCCTCTTCCTCCTCTTTTTTCCTTCCCTCCTTCTTCCTTGCTTCCTCCCTCCCTTTCTTCTTTCCTTCCTTTCTTAATTCTCTCTTTCCCTGCTTCCCTCTTTCAACCCTCACTCCCCTTTATCCTTCCTTCCTTCCTTCCTTCCTTCCTTCCTTCTTTCCTCCCTCCCTTTTCTCCCTTTCTTCCTTCCTTCCCACTTTCCTCCCTAGTCCTATCTTTCCCCACTTTCTTCTCTTATCTATCTCCAATTCACTAATCCACTTCCTCCTTCCTTCTCTTTTCCTTTCTTCCTCCTGTTCGTCTTCCTCCTCCTCCTCTTTCTCTTTTATCTTCCTCTTTTCTCCTCTTCCTCTTTTCTTTTTCTTCCTCTCCCTCTTCTTCCTCTCCTCCTTCCTCTCTACTTCTCTTCCCACCTCCTCCTCCTCCTTCTTCCCTCTTCTCTTTCCCTTCATCCTCTTCTTTTTCTTCTCCCTCCTCTTCTCTTCCCCGTTCCTTCTTCCTCTTCCTCCTCTTTCATACACCCTTCTTTCACTTGAACAAGGCGCAAAGCCATCTCTTCTCTTTCTTCTTTTCTTTTTCTTCTTATCCTTCTCCTCCTCTCCTTCTCCACTTCCTTCTTTCACCTTCCTTCTCTTTTCCTTTCTTCTTCTCCGTCTTCTTCCTCCTCTTCCTCTCTTTTCTCTTCCTCTGTCCTCTTTTCTATTTCCCTTTTTCTTCCTCTCCTCCTTTCTCTCCACTTCTCTTCCCAACTCCTCCTTCCTCCCTCTTCTCTTTCCCTTCTTCCTCTTCTTTTTCTTCCTCCTCCTCTTCCTCAACTCTTTCCTTTTTCCTTCTTCTCCCTCTTCCCACCTCCTCCCCCCTTCCTCCCCCTTCTCTTTTCCGTTCTCCTTCTTCTTCCTCCCCTCCTCCTCTCTCTTTTCTCTTTCCTTTCTTCCTCTTCTTTTTCTTCCTCCTCCTCTTCCTTATCTCTTTCCCCTTTCCTTCTTGTTCCTCTTCCTTTCCTCCTCCACTTCCTCCTCCCTCCTCTTTTCCTTTCTTCTTCTGATCTATAACCTCTAATGTATTGTCGAAGGCTTTCATGGCTGGAATCACTAGGTTCTTGTAGGTTTTTTCGGGCTATAGGGCCATGTTCTAGAGGCATTTCTCCTGACGTTTTGCCTGCATCTATGGCAAGCATCCTCAGAGGTAGTGAGGTCTGTTGGAAATAGGAAAATGGGTTAAAATATCTGTGGAATGGCTGGGGTGGGGCAAGGAGCTCTTCTCTGCCAGAGCTAGGTGTGAATGTTTCAGCTGACCACCTTCATTAGCATTTGAAGGCCTGGCTGAGCCTGGGAAAATGTTCTGTTGAGAGGTGTTAAGATGTGCCTGGTTGTTTCCTCTCTGCTGTTTTAACCTCTAATTGTTCCAAGAAACCTCCTTAAAATCCTCCAAAAATGTTTAAATAATGCCCTGGAGGAGATAGAGCTGGCTTCTCTCTTGCTGGAGAAGAGATCCTGGGAGATCCAGTGTGGTGAGAATTGCGAGTGGAACTACAGCTCCCAGGGATTCCACAATGGTGCCAAACCGCATCTATTTCCCAGTCTAGATGCCTCCAGGCGATTCAAGAAAACCTGCAAGAGCCCTTCTTTCTCCTCCTCCTCCAATGGGAGGGCGCTATGCAAATGAGCGCGCCTTATATGGCAGCCGGCCCCGCCCCTTTCCCCGCCCCGCTCTCTCCTCGGGCTGGAGCCCATTCATGGGGAGCGAGGCGTGGGAAACCCGCGCGCTTGACCGGCGCTGAGCTTGGGAGCCCGTTTCCGCGCGTGGGTCGCCTTCCCTCCGATCCCTTCCCGAGGGGTGCCTCGCTTTGGCCGCGGATGAAGCCTCCAGTGGTCGCTCCAGCCCCCGACCGCCTTTAATCCCGAATCGCGGACTCCTCCGGGCCCCACGGACGCGTTTTCCCCTCGAGACGATGATCTCCAGCTTCGGCAGCGGCTGATCCGCGAGAGGAACATTCCCCCAACAGATCCGGTCCAGCCTTGAAAGTTTCTTGGATTTTTGCTTCTCCCACGCCAGGACCCACGTCCCGAGTGGGTTATTTGGGAATTGAGTGTGTGTGTTTTTTCCCTCCTCCTTCTCTCCAATGTTTGGGATCCAAGACACGTTAGGAAGAGGCCCCATCCTGAAAGACAAAATCTTGGGGTCGGAGATGGATCCCGTCCGCTCGTGGGTCAGGAACGTCGGCGTCGTGGATGCCGGCGTCGCGGCACAAAGGTAAACATGATCTTTATCATAAATATTAATGATGATTATAATTTTCGGGTTTATTCTCCCAATATTCCTGCCTTTATTCCCAATATGCCCTGGCCGGCCCACGCGTGACACCCGGTTCACGCGTGGATTGTGATCTTTATCATAAATAATAATGATGATGATTATAATTTTTGGGTTGTTCTCCCAATATTCCTGCCTTGTTCTTCTTTTTATTCCCAATATGCCCTGGCCGGCCCACGTGTGACACCCGGTTCACGCGTGGATTACGATCTTTATCATAAATAATAATGATGATTATAATTTTCGGGTTATTCTCTCAATATTCCTGCCTCTATTCCCAATATGCCCTGGCCGGCCCACGCGTGACACCTTTCCTTTCTTCCTCCTGTTCTTCTTCCTCCTCCTCTTCCTCCTCTTTTATCCTTTTCCTCTTTTCTTTTTTCCCCCTCTCCCTCTTCTTTCTCTCCTCCTTCCTCTCTACTTCTCTTCCCACCTCCTCCTCCTCCCTCCCTCTTCTCTTTCCCTTCTTCCTTTCTTTTCTTCCTCCTCTTCCTTATCTTTCCCCCCTTTCCTTCTTCTTCCTCTTCCCTTCCTCCTCCACTTCCTCCTTCCTTCTCTTTTCCTTTCTTCCTCCTGTTCTTCTTCCTCCTCCTCCTCCTTTTATCTTCCTCTTTTATCCTCTTCCTCTTTTCTTTTTCTTCCTCTCCCTCTTCTTCCTCTCCTCCTTCCTCTCTACTTCCCTTCCCACCTCCTCCTTCTTCCCTCTTCTCTTTCCCTTCTTCCTCTTTTTTTCTTCCTCCTCCTCTTCTTTAACTCTTTCCCCATTTCCTTCTTCTTCCTCTTCCTTTCCTCCTCCACTTCCTCCTTCTCTTTTCTTTTCTTTCTCCTGTTTCTTTCCCTTCTTCCTCTTCTTCCTCCTTTATACACCCTTCCTTCACTTGAACAAAACGCAAAACCATCTCTTCTTCTTCTTCTCTTCTCTTTCTTTTTCGGTTCACGCGTGGATTATGAACTTTATCATAAATAATAATGATGATTATAATTTTCGGGTTATTCTTCCAATATTCCCGCCTTGTTCTTCATTTTATTCCCAATATACCCCGGCCGTCCCACGCGTGACACCCGGTTCACGCGTGGATTTTCATTTACACCTCTACATATCGATTTACTAAAGGAATATAATGTAAATATCAGGAGTGAGATTGAAACAATGGTTCCAATACAACAAGCATCACTTCTATGAAGTATACAATGGAACCAGCTTGTTTTCTGGTGCTCCAGAAAGTAGAGAAAGTAGACAGAGATAGGAAGAAAATTCCACCTAAACTTCTAAACAAGACTTTGGAGGGGTGATTCAGCGATACACTCCTGGAAGGCAAAAGGGCTGGACTAGATGACCCTTGAAGATCCCTTTTAATCATTATATCAATATAAAAATACTTTTCTTTTTCTTCCTCCCCTTCTCTTCCTCCACTTCTTTTTGAACCCAAAAGGGAAGCATGGTTTTTTAAAAATAAAAATAAATAAATTCGCACCAGGCTCTTATACCAAGCAGCCCACTCATGTCACCGATCCACGCGTGGATCCTTACTGCAATCCCTTACTTATATGTCTGGGTGAAACAAAAAAAATTAGGGTTTCTTTTAAAAATTTAAAAAAACCAAATTTGCTCTGGACTCTTATAGAAAGTGGCCCACTCGTGACACTGATCCACGCGTGGGTCCTCACTGCAATCCCTTACTTATATGTCTGGGGGGAAACAAAATAAGGTTTCTTTTAACATTAAAAAACCAAATTTGCTCTGGACTCTTATAGAAAGCGGCCCACTCGTGACACTGATCCACGCGTGGGTCCTCACTCCCATCCCAGGGACTGCGGGTTAAGATTCCGACTTACTGTAGGAATATAATCAACCATAAAGCCAGAACTGTAAGGATTCTCAATCTTTGGTGGGCTCTAAGCAAGAGCTTGTAGGAGGAATAGAGCTATACATTCCTGCAAGGCAAAAAGGGGCTAGACTAGATGACCTTTGAAGATACCTTTTAATCATTATATCAATATAAACAATACTCGTGTCACCGATCCACGCGTGGATCCTTACTGCAATCCCTTACTTATATGTCTGGGGTGAAACAAAAAAAATAGGGTTTCTTTTAAAATTAAAAAAAAAACCAAATTTGCTCTGGACTCTTATAGAAAGTGGCCCACTCGTGACACTGATCCGCGCGTGGGTCTTCACTGCAATCCCTTATATGTCTGGGGTGAAACACAAAAGGGTTTCTTTTAAAATTAAAAAAACTAAATTTGCTCTGGACTCTTATAGAAAGTGGCCCACTCCTGACACTAATCCACGCGTGGGTCCTCACTCCCATCCCAGGGACTGCGGGTTAAGATTCCGACTCAATGTAGCAATATAATCAACCAGAAAACCAGAACAGTAAGGATTCTCAATCTCTGGAGGGCTCTAAGCAAGAGCTTGTAGGAGGGATGGAGCTATACATTCCTGCAAGGCAAAAGGGCTAGACTAGTTGACCCTTGGAGATCCCTTTTAATCATTATATCAATAAAAAAATACTTCTAAGTCTAGAGTTAAGTGAACACAAAGGGAAGCAGGTATAGATAGATGATAGATAGATAGATAGATAGATAGATAGATAGATAGATAGATAGATAGATAATCAGTGTCATGAGTGGGCCCTTTGCTATATTAATCCAATTTGTTATATCTGCATATTTGTATGTGTGTGTGTATATATATATATGATTAATATAGCAAAGGGCCCACTCATGACACTGATATATATATATATATATATATATATATATATATATATATATATATACACACACACACACATATATATACACACACACACACACACACACATACATATATATATATATAAATCAGTGTCATGAGTGGGCCCTTTGCTATATTAATCATATATATATATATATATATATATATATATACACACACACACATACATATACATATACATAAAACACAAATTTTATTAATATAGCAAAGGGCCCACTCATGACACTGATCCGCGCGTGGATCCTTACTGCCATCCCTTACTTATAAGTCTGGGGTGAAACCAAAAGAAATTAGGGATTTTTTTTAAATTTTAAAAACAAAATTAAATTTTCACCGGGCTCTTATAGCAAGCGGCCCACTCGTGACACTGATTCACACGTGGATCCTCACTGCCCTCCCTTACTTATCTGTAGAGTGAAACCAAAGAGAATTGGGATTTTTAAAAAAATTAAAAAAAACCAAATTTGCTCCGGACTCTTACAGCAAGCGGCCCACTCGTGACACTGATTCACGCGTGGATCCTCACTGCCATCCCTTACTTATCTGTAGGGTAAAACCAAAGAGAATTGGGATTTTAAAAATAAATCAAATTTGCATCGGACTCTTATAGCAAGCGGCCCACTCATGACACTGATCCACGCCTGGATCCTCACTGCCATTCTTTGGATCCCACGTTAAGATTCCGACTTACTGTGGGAATATAATCAACCAGAAAGCCAGGATCCAAAGAGAAGGCAAATTAGGGTAATTGTTATTTTCTAGTCCACGCAAAAGTAATCCACGCACCCACTTGAGACTTATTTTGTTTCCCTGCTGAACTCTATTGAGGTGTGGGGTTATATTGAAAGAAAAACAGTTCAAAAGGAAAGAACTGCAATAAGCGACACCCCAAAAACATGTAAAATATTTACTAGCCGTTAAGGTTGAGTAAATTATGGAAAATCAAGGTTTAAACCCCCCACGCAAGGCACTGGGTGACCTTGGGGAGAGTCACACTTTCTCAGCCTCAAAAACCCCTTGCTAAGAACGCTTTAGGATGAAAAACACAACAACAACCACAACCACAACAACAGGCACGCTTTAAAGGCAAGCACCAACAATCCACTTGAATTTCCTCCCGAGTGAAAAAGTATTTTCTGCAAAATATTCCAAACCCGACAATTCCAAAGCCAGAAAACTCAGGATTTTCCTCCTCTTAATTCATATCTAAATGCAGTATTTCCAAAGATTCCCAGGTCACCTGATTTGTCCTGATTTGGGAAGGAAGTTGGAAGTTAATACAATGAGATAATCCGCCAGGAAATACAACAACAACAACAACAACAACAACAACAACAATAATAATCACCCTCCTTGAGTCCAAGCGGTTAGCAACGCCACCCAGATGGGAAAATAATTCGAAGTGAAAAGGATTGACTTCGGATCGGGCTTTGGAAAAGTCCCTGGGAGGTAAAGAGAAAGAAAGAAAAAACTCCCGAGATTCGTGTTCACGCGTGGAAGGAATTCCAGGAGCCACGCGCGACGTTTAGCAACGCCACCCGGATGGGAAAAGAAATTGAAAGGAAAAGGATTGACTTCGGATCGGAGTTTTGAAACGTCCCTGAGAGGAAAAGAGAAAGAAAAACTCCCGAGATTCGTGGTCACCCGTGGAAAGAAGTCCCAGACCCGCCGTGACGGTTAGCAACGCCACTAAGATGGGGTCGGATTCGAAAGGAAAAGGATTGATTTCGGATCGGGCTTTGGAAACGTCCCAGGAAGGGAAAGAGAAAGAAAAAACTCCCGAGATTAATGGTCACGCGTGGAAAGAAATCACGGACCCGCTCGCGACGGTTAGCAACGCCACCCGGACGGGGTCGGATTCGAAAGGAAAAGGAGTGACTTCGGATCGGGCTTTGGAACCGTCCTTGAGAGAGAAAGAGAAGGAAAAATCCCCGAGATTAGTGATCACGCGTGGGAAGAAATCCAGGACTCACGCGCGACGGAAAAAACCCAAACTCACCTTTTTAATTCAAGCAAATATAAACTTCTATCCGGGAAACACCGCTCCAAACTATGGAGCCGGATCGAGATTATAATTCGGAATATCCTGCGGTTTGATTTTATCCCGGTTTAAGGCTTTTCCTGCGCTTCCCAATCCACTTGAAGTAGTGAAGATGCGCTTGAAGAGAAATTTCCGCCA